CAAGTGGCTCCCTATTCGCCTTCGCAGGAATACGCATGTCCTTCATCTTCTTTACCGTGTTCTGTTTGATCCATCTTCTCCTCCCTATTTAAAAGATAAATTTAAATTTCTGGTTCTTTCTCATTCGAGAAACTTGCGCTCCTGTCAAAATTTAATTTTAAAAATACCTCCTCATTCCACTTCATTTAGTGATAAATCATTCTGTGTAACAGCCTCACGACTTTGGAATTCTCTCCCTTTGAGCGTAAGAGGCGCCAAAACGTATAATACTTTTAAAAACCGTTTAAAACTGCATTTTCACTCTTTTTAAACCATATTCTTTTTACCATCTTTGTTTGTCTTTTTTTAATGCCATTTTACTTATAAGTTCTATTATTATCTATTTAATATGATATAATATTATTTATATATTTATGTACCCATAATATATTAAATATTATTATTATTATAAGTATTTTGTCTTGTCATATTTACGTAAATATAATATTATTATTATGTACATATGTATGTATTTTTGATATGTAAGTTTATTCATAGTATTATTATTATTATGGTTTTATTATTATTATTATTACTACTATATAGTTCACACCCCTTCCCTCTTACAGTTTGTCAATTCCAACACCTTAAGGTTGCCTGGAAGAGATCGCTGTTTTAGCGATAAGGCCGCCTCTTGTACATAACTCTTTTTATATATTTCTTGTATTTTTTTTTCTTTTTCTCTAGTGGGTGTACAATAAAGAGTATTTATTATTATTATTATTATTATTATCTAAGAGCTTGAGATAATAATGAAAAAGTGGGTATAATAATAATTAATTGAATAGTTTACAATACCTAGGTTTCTTTTTATTATCAATAAATCTAAAGGAAAAAAAATGTTGGTAGATACATCGTTACTTTGATTAATTTAGTTTAGTGGTTGCACTTTAGTTAGTTGCACTTAGTTTATTATAATTAAGAATAAGAGCCTACATATAAAACGTCTATCAAAATGATCTATAAATGCTATGGACCCCCGCTTTGTACATAATGTAGGCACCTATAATGGTATGTTGGTTTATTTTTTGTGACGCGAAATTTTTGGCCGAAACCACTATTTTTTTACTTTATTTTATTAAAAGGTACATTTTAGGTAATACCGAAGTTTTGATACAATTTCATTTCATGTGGCCTAGTTTACATTCCTTACACTCAGTACCCACAAAGATGACGATATACCTACCTACAATACCTTTATTTGTTAAATATACGATAAATATGATCACATGTTTAGATTAATAGTGTTTTGTTAAGTTATATCCGATATGATCAGAAAGTAACCAACGAAAACCAAAATAAGTAGATACGAATAGGTATACCTATGTCATGATTTCATACGATGCAATTATATTTGCGTATTTATCATTTTTAAATTTATAATGGTCCGTCATGAAATGAATTTTTGTTCTGGAAAAATGTGCGGTTCTCGTGGGATAGATTTGTTTTTGTTTTTCACTAGGGACGAACCCGAGCGAGGCAAGTTCGAGCTGCTAGTAGGCTTATAAGTATTTTAAAGTAATAATTTTAAAATACCTATTTATACAATGTTTATTTAGTAACAAGAAGGCCTTTTTATTTTTTTATTTACCTAGAAGTTAATAGTCGTCGATTACGAATAGTTAATATAGGATAACATGTCCATTGTCCAATGAACCGGCCGGCCGGCCGACCAATGTCCGGTTTCGCGAAAACTTTTTTAAATAAATTAGGAAGGCTCATTGTGTTTAACCTTTAAATCAATATTATCAAAAACTCTTTTAAAATACCTACATCGTATATATAGAGATATGTATCGTAAACAATAAATTGAGCAGCTTTTAAGTGATAAAAGTTTTTAAATGATAAAAGTTTATGCTCTTAATATTAAGTTAAAGTAAATTTATGTTTTATGACATTTTTATACGCTTATTTGCTCAATTTAAGTATAATATACACATTATTTATCATTTTTAAATCAAATATAAATACCTAATAGGGCGCAGGTGAACTGGAACAAAAAAGGCTACTTTCAGTACCCAGCTTACACCGACCGGACATTAGAGTTCAGTGTTCATCCGTTTTATTGCATTTATCAGTAAACTCCGAAGTATAATGTTATAAGTAATGGTTTTCTATTTCTTTATTCTACTCGTAGTTAATGTCATGTTCAATATTCGGCCGCCAAAATAAGCTGTGTATTCAGCCGCCAAAATAAGCTGTGTATTGGCACAGATCATATAATACTATACTAGTAGTATTAGTATCCCCTCAAAAACATAAATGTGAAAATGGGAGCCAAGTTCAATATTAAGAATATGTGTGGTTGTCAACTTCACCGACAAAAGAATTGAGATCTAAATGGATGCCAAGTCCTGTAGATAATCCTGATTTTTTTTCATAAGAACATACAATATACAAATAATAAAATTCTAAGCCGAATCTGTACATTAAATATTTTTTGGAAAATCTTATTGAAATAAACATTATTATCGATACAGAGTCCGAATCTATAGTTTTTAGAATTTTTGTCTGTCTGTATGTCTATCTTTCTGTCTGTCTGTCTGTTACCGCATCACAGCAAAACTACTGGAGAGATTTTGATGAAATTTAGTATGGTCATAGTTGGTTATCCGGGTCAGCATATAGGATACTTTTTACCGCAGGAAAATATCTCATTTCTGAGAAAAAATACAAAAACTGGTTAGAATAAAACCACGATGATACTATATATATTTTAGCAAGGTAACATACTAAATAAGGCAAAAACTATTAAAAATAGCTTATCTTGAAAAAAAATAACAATAGCGCTATTTTATTGGTTTTTGGTCACCTGAACGCGGGCGGAGCCGCGGGCAATGCTAGTTCTAAAATAAATTTGAAACACAATTTCTTGTTTTTTTCTGCTATAAAATCTAATTGAACTTCTTAAATTTGACCAGCCGAACTATTTACACAGAGTAGATAACTTAGGATAAATTGAAGCTCAAGATTTGACTTGTCTAGTATTTTCATTTGAATGATTTTTTTCTTTGGATTTTTAATACCATAAACTATAAAGTTTAGCCATTAAAAATTACCGCTGTTTTGAAACAGAACTTCTAGAAATTGTACCAAAAAATACAGTCATCGGAATTTTTCAATATTAATTTTAAGAAAATAATAACTCTTATAGTTTTTGAAGTTGTTTATACAAGATTTCTTATATAAAACTTTTTATAATAAACAAGGTTCTGTGAAATCGTCCTTAGCAATTTATTTAGCTAACACTTAGTTTCGCGAAAAATTAACATTAAGAAAAGTCATTATTATGTAATTTAAATTATCAGCTAAATATAAATTAACCAATAGCTATCTATTGGTAAACAAATAATTAAAATTAATTCAGTAGTTTGAGAGTTAATCGCCCAAAACTAAACAAACGAACAAAACAGAAATACAGACAGACTATAAATGTTATTGTTAAAACAAAAAGTGCAATATTTGGGAACCTTGGAAGAATAAGAGGAACCATAGTGGCATTGTCAATCACCGCCATTATTTACCGATGATGCGGTGTGCAATGAAATTGGTATACCTATGTAAGAGTAGGTATACTAATAAGTAAAAGCTAAGAATTTGGGTTTTGGTTATCTGAATGCTAGTAATTTATAATAATAGTTTACGGTATTACAAATAATTCATGACTATCACTACAGGGTGGTACCGACATCTGTTAAAAAGCGCCAGAAACAAAACAAATAAATATCCGCGTTCTTTTTTTTTAAATACATGCCTATCGGCCAAGATCACATAAATAAATTCTTTATACATAAATCATTACAAATTAATCAAATATATTATTTTTTAATTAAAACGCTTATATATAAAAATGCAACCATAGAATACATATAAAAATATATCCCATACGAATAAACCTTAAAAAATAATGTACTAAATAATTGTAGGTCTTAATAATGCCTACAGAAAAATCTCCAATAGCATAAGTCTTTTCCCTAAGATACACTCGCAATAACTATTGATATCTATAATTTAGGTACTTAGGGACGCACCCGAGCGAAGCGAACGTAAGTCACTATATGAATGTATTACATTAGAAGTAGCGTCATTTTCATCGGACAACCCTTAAAAACATTAGCGGAAGATTTCAAAAGGTATAAACTTCTTAGTTTTTAGTATGTAGGTAGGCATAAGAAATTCAAAAATCCAAAATCAGCCAAATCCGTTTATTATCAGTTATAATGCACTTGACTATGTAATAATATGACGCAGTTGGCCGGCCTTTAAAAATCTTTAAAATTATACTAATAATGCAAATTAATATTTGTAAGGGTGTACCTATTTATTGATTTAGATAAAGTAAAATATAACTTTTGTTTAGACCGCAAGGTTTGTCTTTGTATTAAGTGGCCGAAGACTGGAGTGGACATGCAATTTCGGTCACTGGAATGGGGTGGCCGGAGACTGAGACTTTTTTTATGTTAAAGCGCACAGCCTAAGCCTTCGGAAGAGCCATTTTATTACCTAGACAAGTTAGCGAAAGACTTAAGATAGTGTGGCGTACACTTGGCATGTTCAGGGGACCTAATAAAAATATATTATTCGTAAAGCTTTGTTATTTGACAGCTCTTTTCTATCCCATTTACCTAATACACATCTAAGTATATCTACCTATATATATATATATATATATATATATATATATATATATATATATATATATATATTCAGAATTTAGTGTCTTACTTTCATTTAAAAAATCAATCTTTCTCATTTGATACTTACCTACTTCATACCTATCCATCTAGGTAGGTACTCCGTATATAAAATTGATACTTTACATTTTAACCTTTAACTAACATCTCTATTAACTATTTTGCATTATTAAGATAATGTATTTTATAATAAAAACCTCTTCAGATAGGTTCGTTTGTATCCAGATATGAAGTGAGTAGTAGTATTCAAATAAAAATATTACATACCAAAGAAATCGTGAGCTCTATGAAACGGTGTGTGAGCTAGGTGGTGCAACTGCAGCGGCTGTATGGGTGGCGGCGGCCGTGGTGCCAGGATGCTGTCGATGGTGAACAGCGGCGGCGGCGGGCGGTCGGCCAGCGCGCCGCCCGCGCCGCCCAGCAGCAGCGCCGTGCTGAGCAGCGCGGGCGCGTCGCGGGCCCAGCCCGGCCCGCCCATGTCCCCGCTCGCACTCTCCGCCACGCTGCCTCACCGCCCTCTCACCGCTACCTCACCACACAACCTGTCCTCGACTACACCAACACACTTCATCATATTCCTTTACAAATTCTTACAATCATAATTAAAACACTATCACACTAATCCGTTTTAAATAAAATAGTTTGTTACTGTAGTAGCGTAAGTATAACGAGCTTTTAAAACGAACCGACGTCGGAAGGTTCGTTATTACTATCGCAAGTACTGATAGGATAATGTAATAGACGCGTGATGCGATTGCGAGCAAATCGTTTTAGTGAGATGTCGCGTAGTGATTCGAGTGTGAGTTGAAGCGCAGGGCGCGTGGGGTGCGCCGGGGGCGTGCTCCGGGGCGTGCCGCGGCCCCGCCCCTCGCACAGCTTAATGGATGTGACAATACGACGCTCCCAAATACTCACTAATAATAGTAATCTTTATCCCTTCCTTTGATGTTACAGTTATACCTATATGTTGACTTGATAACTAGTTTTGTTGAGAATTACCTAAATACTAAAACAACATTTTATTTAAAAACTATTATTTTTGTTACCTATTTCAAAGTAGACAGTAGACACATACAGATAGTAGATTAGGTAAGGTATTTTATCTATATACGCTTATTTATTTATAACTGCCTCGGTGGTGTAGTGGCTAGCATGTACGGCTGCACACTCGGAGGTCCTGGGTTCAAGTCCCAGGTCGGGCCAAGTTTAGTTATTGAGAGTTTCTGTATAGTACCTAAGTCTCAGTAACAGCCCGGAGTTGGGAAGTTGGCGGTGTTTGCCCCCGTGCCTCGGAGAGCGCGTAAACCCGTCGGTCCTGCGCCTGAACTCTCACTGGTCGTGTCGAGCAGTAGTCGTCCCGACGGAGTATGAGAATGACAGGAATAGAGAGTGCACTTGTGTCTGCGCGTACGTACACTTGTGCACTATAATATCTCCTGCGCAGTTGGCTATTTTCAATGAGATCGGCCGCCGTAGCCGGAATCGGCTAGGAGAACATCCTTTATTCATATAGGTAAGTATAAATATAGTATTTTTGTATGTAAGTAGTTAAAGTATTTAGTTATTGCTTAATTATATTTATTTTGCATTTATTATACTTATTATTTGTATGATACGTATGACCATATTTATAACTAGTATACCTAGGTATACATTTTTTACTTTCTCTTTATTTAATATTTGCGCCCCTTCTATCTTAATAGGTAGGTACACCTAAAGGTTGCCTGGAAGATATTGCTCTTTTTGCGATAAGGCCATCTCTTGTAGGTACACTCTCCTATATTTTGTACGTTTTCTTTTCTTTTTGGGTGAACAATAAAAGGCTTATAATAATTATTATTTGGATCTCACGGGCACGGGCTCGAAGAAGCCCGGTCCTTTGGAAGGCTTGCATGAGGACACAGGTCCAAGTTCAAACACGGCGAGGCCTCTTGAGGGATTCAAGTTTGTTTAATGTGACGCATCAGCTGGGATCCATCTCTGAGTAACCCATAGGGAATTTCCCAAAGATGGCCTCCGGATAATGCGTAGAGACTAAGGAAAATATGGAAAACTAAATAGGGTTATGGAATAGAATTTAGATGAGTTAATAGTTTCATACTGAATATTTGACGGACGATGACTTGTCTCCCACTAGATGGGCCTCCACAAAGCAGCATAGTGTCTCGGGCGCGCAACATCGGCGTAGTCGGCTAATGGTGTCGAGAGATGTGCACCGGTTTTACCATCGCGAGAGTGCTCGTGAGCGAGTTTCCCCGTTAATACGCAGATTGAGAACTTCCACCCTTTCGAGCACTTGGCTCTTGCGCTCCACTCAGGACGACCAATGATAGCAAGCTAGAGGCGGGGGAGAGATATTGCTTCCTCCGGGAGGTCTCAGGTCCGTGGTGTCACCCTAGGCCTGCGGGATTATCATTATTAAATTATTATAACAATTCCTATAAGGTAGACATGGACATCAGAGGCTAGACATCAATTTCTTTAATATTAAATACCTACTAACTAGGTACTTCTATACCTACTTAAGTAGTCTTATAATATGGAATATGCGTGTGATTTAAATAAAGATGAGATATATTTTTTTATCATCTTTATTGCTTTTAAATTAAGCCTATATCAATTTCTTTTAATATAATTTCTTTTTGATTAAGAGAAAATAGTTATTAAAAAGTGCAAATATAGGTAGGAAATTCAAAGTACTAGAAACGCACGCCATTGTTCAAACCGAATATGACGTCAAAGTATTATAATAACAAAGCGATTAGCGATTTTGTCGCTACAAACTAAAATCGACATTTTTATGTACTTATAATAAGGCAAATTATATAAAATGTAAATTTTAGTTTTTTTGGAACTGGATTTTTTTTACAATTACCTATATAACGATGTTAAATATTGTATAAAAAAAAATCATACATATTCCCTATTCTATAAAATTAAGTCCATACATTTAAAGTTTACCACCCACGGTTATACAAAATTATTTATTTACTAAAAGATTCCACAGTACACAAAGCTTAGTGACAATTGTAAGATGAGGATTAACTCTTATCTAACAACCAGCAAATTGAGCGAGGGTTTATTATGCTGAATATTGCGCCCGCGGCGTTCACGACGTGTTCGTCTTTTTGCAATCTTACAGCTCAACAATATCTAATACAAATCTACCTACTTGTGAATAAACGACATATGTCCTTTTTAGCAAAGGTAAAAAATGTATTTTTACTCGAATAAAAAAATGCGTACATAAAGAGAGAATGGCAAGGCTTTAAAAGATTTACCTCATACAAACCAACTAAGTATTTTTCAAATGTTAATTCTGATTTTCAATACGAGACTGCACAAATTCAAAAAATATATAAAGGGATTGATTGATAATATTATTTTTTTCAAAAGATCTCTTTAAATAAATAATTACTTATTTATTCTTTGTTAAGTAGGTATTTACCAATCTACCTACCATTTCAATTAGCACTCTTTAACGGAAATGGAAACTATCTATACCTTACTACCTACCTAGGTACCTATATTAAAATAGAATTTTGTGTATTCACAATAAGATTATCCACTTATAAAGTTAAAATAAAAATTTTGTGTGGTGCGTGATGCGTCGAAGAGGAGTGCGGAGGCGGCGTAGGGCGGTTCGAGGCATCTTTGCAAATATTTAGAAAGGTGGGAGCCAGAAACCCGAGCTCGCTTCTGTTTGCCTGTAATTGATGTAATTAGTCGTGTCGACCAGCTGCCATAGATAAAAACTCACATTTAATGTTTGATTAGTTAATACGATACTTTCACAGGCCGGAAACATCTTTACGGTATCCTATTCTAGCAAATATTGGTCACACTCGACGATGCGTGACATGCTAGAGAATAACTTGGACAGTTCGAAGTACAAGTGTACCTACTGTAATACTCTATAAGAATTACTTATTTTATGGATATCTTAAAAATAAATAGATAGATAGATAGTGTTATAGGTACCTATATCTACTACAATACTAAAAAACAGATTTTATTCCTAAATCTGAAGATAGGTATTTAGTAAGTATAATAATTATAACATAAATGATCTGCACCCTGATTACATTGTATAATTGATTGATGATCATATTGAAGATGAAATTGGTAAGATTATTTTATACCAGAAAGTCTTGTAAGAAGTGTAAGTAACTTCACTTAATCACTGGCACCTTAAATCATTTCACAAATGCGTAATTTACAATAATTAAAAGTGACTGTGACATCTGTACCTAGAAAATGCACAATTCTGATCGCTTTGTTGACTTTCCCCATCTGGTCTTTCTCCATGGATATTTTCTATAGGTCTACCTCATAGAAAATATCAATATCATAATCTCTTGCTTGTTATAACAATACATTTATAGTTAGCGACCGATATCTTGTATATAGATGTCAACGATTTGTCGCTAAACAGGCAGCTGCCAATCCCTTTGATACGTGCAATGGAAAATTAACTGTGTATAATACGACGATTATCTGCGTATAACTTAATACGACCAGTCACATAAAGAGCATAAGCATTAAAATAGTTAACAATAGGTGGGATTATCCCGGCTAACCTCCAGCCCTAACAATATAGTATAATGTATATACCCTAAACATGTCCGTTTGCTAAATAAGTTCGCGAATGTTTGGTATTTTGTACAAGTAGGTAAATCATATCTATATATGTGTATATATATATATATATATGTCGGCAGACCTGCCGTCGGGGCGTCGTAGTTGAATGCGTAAGCGATCCTGCGACGCCCCATTAAGACGGGGGAAGGTTTTGTTGGGTTTTAGTGGGTAGTACTGGCTGTATTACGCCGGTGAGTCCCACACGTCGTGCGTAAATGCATTTCCCAACGTTAAAAAAAAGGTGCATAAGTTGTATAAGTTATTATAGTTTTTTAAGTATCCCACGGGAACAATTTAATTTTCCGGGATAAAAAGTATCTAAGATGTGCAAAATTTTATTTATATCAGTCCAATAGATTCGGAGATTAGCCCGTACAAACAGACAAACAGACAAAGAAACAAAAAATTTGAAAAAAAAATCTGGATTTGTTCTATTTGTCTTCTTACATCCCCCTGACTCAGTTTTTAGCATTTTTTTGCTATGTACAGACATTCGACCTCTACTGTTTTATTATAGTATAGATAGACTAACGGCTCATCCTCGCTTCGCTCGGGTTCGTTACTAGGTACGTCTTAAATAGATATAAATAGTTATCAGCCAGGATTAGCCATATACCTACATTTTATTTATTTTTTTCGTTAATTTTTCATTTTTTTCTTTCATAAGAATCTTCTGCTGACAATAACAAACGCAACAAAAAAATAGTTAAATCGGTCCATGCGTTCACGCGTGATGGCGTGACCAAGGGAAATAGGGATTCATTTTTATATATTTAAATGTTCATATGTAATCACTCTAGATTCACTAAAAGTTAAACCTAAACTTAGTCTACGCAA